ACCAGAAATCCCACTATTTAAAGGAATTCTTCTACTAGATGGTTTTATTCATGCTCCTGTACTGGAATATCATGGGAAAATGTTTAAAATAAAAAATTGGCTTGTTAACTTCTGTCTCCTGAAGCTGCCATTAGGTTTCATATCAAGGAAGGAACAAATCTCAACACTGAAGCTAACTTAAGGAATAAAAGTCCAAAATTTCTCCCAGGTCTTTGCTCAATACTTTCATCATTTAGCAGTAGTTGCATATTGCAAGGTGGTGGAATTGAGTTTTTGGAAAGAGGGCTATTTCAGGGAAAAGGGAGAGAAGAGAAGGAAAAAGTGAGTCTGAGCCTATGGTAGCACCTGTGGTGCACTTGGTGCATTTTACAAATGGTGCTGGGACATGGGGAGAAGGAGCAGGAACCACCTGTTCCACAGGAGACAAGTCTCCTATACATCTCTTGTAGTTCACATAGAACACAAAAGATAAACAATGATACAAAAACTTGTGAAGGCCCCTCTTTACCTCCAGAATGCTGAAAGTTTGCAGAGGGTGCATCACTTTTCAGAAGGTGTCCAGTTGTTTGTAATCTGCATCTACTGAACATTTCTGGTTGATTAATCTAGGTTCAAACTGAGACTCACTCCAAAGTTCATCCTCCAAATCAAATCATAACACTAAACCTCCTAGTCACAGAAATGGGAGGTTTGAAGAGGATAGAAACTGGGATAGTTACTCACAGATAGAGGAGCACCAGGCTGATTCCCAGGAGAACCCAGGTTTCCATGGTAAAGTTTGGGATCAGATCCATCACTACTTTCCTTTCAAAATTTTCTCCTCTGAGTTTGAATTCCAGCTATGTGAGCTATCTTTTGACAGGGCAGAATGTTCCAAGCTTGCCTTCTGTGAACAGCTGTGAGTCAATGAAGTCAGTCTGGCATATTTACATGCTAGAAAAGGAGGTGGAGCTGAATGTACAGCCAGTAGGAAAAACCACCTGTGCCCAACACCCTATTGCAGAAGCCAGGTGCCCCCTCCAATTTGGCAGTTGGCAGTGAGTCATGAGACATGCCCATTTTTATCTTTGAGCTCAGGTTTGTAAAAATTATTAATAAAAAATACGATGAGAGTTGTCATTATGCCCAAAGGTTATTGCTTCTTAGAAGAAACTCAAGTTAAACATTGGAATTAAATGCCCTCTAATCATTTTTTGTCTCCTTGGGTGTTCTCATTACAAAATCCTTTAATTCCACCCAAAAAGGTTATATCTAAATAACTACTCATGCACTTTCCTCTGCTTAGAATGCTCTCATGCTCATAGAAGACTTTTTTAAAAAATATTTTTTAGTTTTTTAATGGACCTTTTTCTCTCCTTTCTTTCTTTCCTTATTTATTTCTATGCAGTGCTGAAAATCAAATCCAGGGTCTCACACATGCTAGGCAAGAACTCAATCACTCAGCTCCAGCCCCAGCCCAGAAGACTCTTGATCATCCTTCAAAACCCAGCTCAATCAAATCTTCATCTGCTAAAGGCTTTCAACACCACCTCCACCTCCTCACACGAAGCCACTTCCTCCCCTGTACAATTTCTAGTATCCCTGGAACACATTTCTCTTGTTGTTGTTCTCTTTACTGCCCTACAACATTGTTGGATTACACTTTTGTTTCACTTTCAAAAATGTGAACTTCCCTGGAGCAGGGTCTGTGTACTACCCACTATTAAGCCCCTAGTCCCTAGCAGAGATCTTTACAAAGAGCTGATATCCAGGAAATTTGATCATTGAGTCAGGTGAGATTGCTGGGCCTTTGCAGGTTCTTTCCCTGTGAGTCTTTGGTGACCACTTCATCTCCCTTGTTTATACAGGAAGATGATTTGGCTTGTTTGGGCCACAACCACCTTCCCAAAACATCAAGATGTTGTGCCAGTGCCCTGATGGCCAGAAGTCCCTTAGAAAAAAAATAGTGGGCATGGCCACAATGAAGCTGATGGATGCATTGAGTAATGTCAATCCAGAATACATCCTGTGCAGCCATCAAGAGATCCCTGCAGTAGCCAACACATAGATTTTAGAGCAAAGAATATCCTCTGTCTCTGAAAATAATGCATGCCCATGATCAATGGGTGTGAAAGGACAGAAGAGGAGAACTGCATCCTGCATGGCCAGGTGAACTGCAAATCTCTACCCACCCATCTCATGCCAGATATCACCACAGAGAGCACATCTAGCACCAGAACTCAAAAAAGATGATCCCAGATTTTTCATTAGGCCAAGAAGTGTCTGAGCAGTGGCTCCCTGCTTTTTGGTAAATGGGTGGTTGTGGATGGAGAGCAGACTCTGGGAGCTGGTAAGAGGAGGCTTGTAAGAACAATTGTCATTATGAGACTCTCAGCAGATTCCTGATATGAGTGATGCCAGGTCTGAGGGTTTGTAAATTATATAAGCTCATTAACTTAACTCTGAGTCAAATTCTTTGTCTGATTTGCCTGAGAAACTGAGGATTAGGTAACAAAGTCTCCAAGTTCTCAAAACATAACAGAATGAGAAGACATTCAAGCTGTGCTTGTGTGCTTCCTTCTCTCTTTCTTCTGACTCTGCACCAACTGATACTTACCCTTCACCAATCCTTCCAACATCTCTGGCATGCATTCAAACAAGGAAAGATTACAGTATCATTTGAGAACTGTTGACAATTAGTAATCTTGAAGCAGACAGAATTCAGAGGCACCTCACCTCAAATTGGGAATGACTTTCTCATGCTGAGAGTAGAAGCTGGGGGCCATGAGGCTTCTACCTCTCACCTTGACAGGCACCAAAAAAGATGAAAGTGGGGATTTCCTTTCTTCTGGGACAACTCAGACTAACTAAATCTGCATGTGTGTATTTCCTGCCTTTTTTTCCTCAGCTTTCTCCGTCTTCAGGTTAACCAAATATACACATGTATATCACCTGGCTCTTGTTTCTGTAAATTATAATTATGACTGTGGGATAGGTAAGGAAAAGAAATCTAACTGCTTCCTCGCAGGTTGATCAAGGTCAATACTCATTTTACCATCTTTTGTCTATTTATTATGTGGGCAGACAGCCAAATCCAGCCAGCTGGGATCAAGGCAGGTCCCAGGTTTAGGCTGTCAGTAACAATCTCACCATAACCCAAAATCTTTTATATACTTTTTGTATGTAAAACCTCTATGGAACTATATAATTTCACCTTTTTTCAAGACACATATTTGGCTAAGATGATGAAATAACCAAGGCTAATATGATTTTTTTCCTGTCCTGCTTAGCTCTGGTCCTGGTT